TGTTGACCAGGATAGTCTCGATCTCTTGACCTCATGATCCACCCGCCTCGGCCTCCCAAAGTGCTGGGATTACAGGCTTGAGCCACCGCGCCCGGCCAGAGAATTTTTTATTTTATTTAAGACAAGGTCTCACTTTGTCACCCAGGCTAGAGTACAATGGCGTGATCTCAGCTCACTGCAACCTCCGCCTCCTGGATTCAAGTGATTCTCCTGCCTCAGCCTCCAGAGTAGCTGGGATCATAGGCGTGTGCCACCACACCTGGCTAATTTTTGTATTTTCAGTAGAAACGGTTTCGCCATGTTGTCCAGGCTGGTCTCGAACTCCAGACATCACGTAATGCAGCCGCCTCGGCCTCCCAAAGTGCTGGGATTGCAGGAATGAGCCACCACGACCGGCCAGGTTTTTTTGTTGTTGTTAAGTATGCTTATTGATGATATCTGATATATTGCTATAATTACCAATATATGATTTTTTTTTTTTTTTACTGCATGATATCAGACAGGCTACTTTTCAGTTTCTGCATATAAAATGGTGAGAACTACAGTTTCTACCTCAAAAGACTGTTATGAGAAATAAGATACTACATATAAGGCACTTATAATAGTAAATAAGCATTTTTAAAAAGTCAGCTATATTACTAAAGATGAAGAATACTATATATGCCTCTTCCCATAATTATTTTAAAAATTCTCCTCAGGACTGTAATCCCAGCACTTTGGGGGGCTGAGGCAGGCAGACCACTTAGGTCAGGAATTCAAGATCAGCCTGGTCAACATGTTGAAATCCTGTCTCTATTAAAAATACAAAAATTAGCCAGGCATGGTGATGCATGCCTGTAATCCCAGCTACTTTGGAGGCTGAGACAGGAGAATCCCTTGAACCTGGGAGTGGAGGCTGAAGTGAGCCGAGATCGCACCACTGTACTCCAGCCTGGGCAACAGAACAAGACTCTGTCAAAAAAAAGAATTATAATGATAACTAATAAATTTCAAAGAATCACCTTGATCAGCAATTCTTCTTGATTATCAACAATTTACAAAAGGAGGGTACATAGATAAAGCAAATGTGGTAAGACACTAATTTTTTGATTTGGGTGATGAGGAAAAATATTAAATTACAACATAACAGTAACAAATCTACTGAGTACTCATTATGTGCCAAGCACTATCTAAGGGTTTTGCATATATTAATTCCTCTACTCAGAACTATCCTATATAGTAGAGTCTATCATTATCCTCATTTTACAGATGATGAAACTGTGGCACAAAGAGATGAAATAAATTGTCCCAAGCTCAAGCAGCTCTTAAGTGGCAGGTTGAGGACTAGAACTCTGCTAATTTAGCTCCATAACCCATATGACTATAACTATACTAATCTGCATCTCATGTGACCTGATAAATATGTGGCCTGAAACAGACTCATGCTGTCAAAAACTTCAAACCATTTCCCAATTTCTACTGTCTTTCCTTCCCTTCTAATAACCCCTTCCCTTGTTAACAGAGACCTCTCTACTAAAAACCCTATTGTATTATCACTCCTTAAAAGCCTCAAAAGCATCAAAGATCCTGTCACCAATCAAACCACCTCCTTACCTTGCCCTGCTTTAGAATTCAAGGTGGTGGGGATCAGAGAGACCTAGTGTGTAATTCCATCTAAACTGTAAACTCCTCAACTAATCACCATCGAATCAAAGTTCTGCATGGTGGCTCATGCCTGTAATCTCAGCACTTTGGGAGGCTGAGATGGTAGAATTGCTTGAGTCCAGGTTCGAGATCAGCCTGTGCAACATAGGGAGATCTCATTTCTACAAAAAATTTAAAAAATTAGTCGGGTGTGGGACCACATACCTGTGGTCTCAGCTACTGGGGAGGCTGAGGTGGGAGGATCACTTGAGCTGGGGAGGTCCAGGCTGCAGGGAGCGAGATTGTGCCACTGCACTCCAGCCTGGGGGACAGAGTGAGAGCCTGTCTCTGAAAAAAAAATTTTTTTTTGAGTAATAAAATAAAGCTCTACAGTTAGCCTCTCTTCAAGAGGTTTACTTGCAGACCATCCAAATGATAAGAAAGAGGCAGCTCCTAAGACAAACTAAATTATTACTAAATGTTCATGTCAATACCTACTGGAGACGGTGGCTCACGCCTGTAGTCTGAGCTACTGGAGAGGCTGAGGCAGGAGAATCGCTTGAACCTGGGAGGTGGAGGTTGCAGTGAGCCGAGATTGTGCCACCGTACTCCAGCCTGGGTAACAGACCCAGACTCTGTCTCAAAAAACAGACCTGGACTCCATCTCAAAAAAAAAAAACCATACTGGAAAGGGGTAGGAAGTTGGAATCTACCCTCATCCCTCATTACCCCATCACTCACTGAGAAGGAAGGCCAAAGCACCACGTGAGTGGACAGGGCATTTCAGGAGTTAAAGCTTAACCAGCTGAAGATTAACTGGAACAAGCCCGCATAGTCCGACAAAATAAAAAATCCACAGGAAGGGCTGGAATGTGATGGACGAGAGGGAGGAGAAAAGCTCTTTTGTAAACGGTTGAGTCCCAGCTGAAGGATTCTGAGGAGAATCTAACGACGCTAGGATCTGGAATGGCTGCTGTTTCTGAGGTGAGATTAGGAGAGGCAGGCATTAATAGGATATTGAGTGCAATCATGAATGTAAACAAGAGGGTGGCTTAGGAACTGGGTATCCCCAGTAATAAAATGAAAACAGCAAAGCAAGTCTAGAACATCACTAGTAAGAAAACTGTAATCTCTCAAAGAGGGAGTCATTATGCCATATTACAACTACTGCACCACTTGGGGAGAAATCATGTTTTCTATTAATTTTGCAGGTGGCTTTATCTGTCTTTTCCTTCCCAGCCTGATTAATGACAGGGCTGCCTCATTGTTCAGTCCAAGCTGATTTTCATACCTTCACAGAAGAGGGAAGCAAATGTCCCCACGCCCAGAAAAATAAAAATTACACTTCATGGAACAAAAAAGAAACATAAACTCATCTAGATTTTGACTTGCCTATATGCAACAGCAATCATTTCCTCCTCTCCCCGCTGCCTTCCTAAAGAACAGCAGGATTGGGAAAGGAGACAGAATCTTGAGACCTCGGGCCTTTGCTGGAGCCGGGCTTGGCTGATCACGACACACCCCCGCTAGCGCACTAGCTCCCTCAGTCTACCGCGCGCAAAACCCCATGGAATAACAGGGAGCCTGGAATAAAGCTGACCGGTCCCCGTATCAGGGAGAAAGGCCAGGTATACGAAGACTGAGCTGGAATCTGTCTCCGAGTTCCCCGCAGTTTCCATGGGAGGGAGCTCGGGTAAAGCTGTGCGATCTGCAGTTGTTCTTCAGACTACATCTTTTTGTTTGGGGGCCTTCATTCACTCCGGGGTTCATGCATCTAACTCGAAGCCATTCCGGGCCGCTGGACCTGCGCGGCCCTGAAGCGGGACAGCAGAGGACGCAGCAGGGCACTCGGCGCCCAGTCAGCGCCACAAACTGCACAGCTACTGCCTCCCGGCTCACACACAGGTCCGCGCCGCCCCCGCGCCACCCCCTCGCCCATTGCCTGGGTGCACGCTACCAACTTACCTCTCAGAGCCGACACCAGCAGGGAAGCCGGAAAGAATCGCGCGCGGAGGCCTGTGGGAAATGTAGTCCGCGGGTGGGAGGGAACAGGTCCCAGCGCCGACAGGCTGCGCGGAATGCGCAAGCGCGAACGTTGGAGCTCTGACAGCGCTCGCGTCGGGAGGGCCTTCCAGGCTGCCGGGAGATGAGGTGAGCCCCAGCCTGCGTTTGCTTCTGTCGCTGAGGAAGACTTTTTTTATTTTTTATTTTTATTGAGACAGAGTCTTGCTCTGTCGCCCAGGTTGGAGTGCAGTGACGTGATTAGAGCTTACTGCAGGCTCGACCTCCCGGGCTCATGCGACCCTCCCACCTGAGCCTCCAGAGTAGCTGGGACTGCAGGGGCGCGCCACCACACCCAACTAATTTTTTGTTTAATTTTTGCAGAGCCCAGATATCCCTATGTTACCAAAGCTGGGGTCCAACTCCTGGGCTCAAGAGATCCCTCCGCCTGAGCCTCCCAAAGTGCTGGGACTACAGGCGTGAGCCACTGGATTCAGCCACAGAGGATTTAGAAAGACGTTTTGGTACGAGCAGGTGCCTAATATGTGTACTAAACACCTAGCAGTTACTCACTGCATACACCCAAGCAAGGTGTGAGGAGCATACATCAGGCATGAGCATACTTGATGTATGCTCATCAGAAGCTGGAGCAGGACCTAGACCTAGAAAGGTCACCAGTGCTCACTGCGCGCTCGCTATCTCTCTCTCTCTCTCTCTCTCTCTCTCTCTCTCTCTCTCCCTCTCTCCTCTCTCTCCCCTCTCTCCCCTCTCTCCCCTCTCCCCCCTCTCCCCTCTCCTCTCGAGAATACATTTCTCCTGTCCTCTGTTCCTTCAGGAAAGAAATGGGATAAGCCCACCAGGGGACCACCGTGAGGCATCTTCTGTATCCCAAATTCTTCAATATATTAACTAATATATTAGTTATATATATATATATAAAGTTATATATAACTTTTTTATATAATATATATTATATATTATATATATATAATATAAAAGTTTTATATTAGTTATATAAAAAAAGAAATTCTTTAAGAATATAAAACTTTAGAAGATATTTGAAAATGCCTAGGTAATTTTGTTTCATTTGACAAAGAATGGGATATGCATGAAATAGGAGATAAATGAAAACTCTGAGCTACTTTATGACTACTAGGAAGGCGGCTGGGCTCATGCCTGTGATCCCAGCACTTTGGGAGGCCAAGGTGGGCAGATTACTTGAAGTCAGGAATTCGAGACCAGCCTGGCCAACATGGTGAACCCCTGTCTCTACTAAAATACAAAAATTAGCTGGGCGTGGTGGAGCATGCCTGTAATCCCAACTACTTAGGAGGCTGAGGTAGGAGAATTGCTTGAACCTGGGAGGCAGAAGTTGCAGTAAGCTGAGATGGTACCACTGCACTCCAGCCAGGGTGACAAACCAAGACCCCTCTCAAAAAAAGAAAAAAAAAAAAAAAAAAGGCTGGGCACTTTGGGAGGCCAAGGTGATTGGATCACCTGAGTTCTGGAATTCTAGACCAGCCTGGTCAACATGGTGAAACCTAGTCTCTACTAAAAATACA